CTCTCTCCACACCCTCCCCCCCCCCCCCCCCCCCCCCACCAAATCACTTGGACTGGCATTATAATAAAACTTTTGAGCGTCTAATTTTTGGACCCTAGCTTTGCACTGTTCTGGTTGAGAATCTTCCAGAGGATCACTCATTGAACAACCTCCAGAGAATATTTGGTGCTGCTGGAAAGTAATCTTTTTAATTCTAGTCTTTTATTTTGCTTTCTTATTGTCTTATTGCCTGTTAGGTGGGTCTCTTCATTCTAAAAGTTGTTGTTTGCAACTTTCAGGATAAAGAATATTTCCATCCGTGATCCACTAGTTGTGGAAAAGTCTAAGAAAGGAAGTAAAACAGATATTTTGATCAGTAGCAAGGTATGGATTATGGAACTGTATTCATCTGAAGGATTATTGCATTTAACTTGTTCTTTATTACAAGAATGGTATATTATCTTTGGCTAGTTCTTTAGCTGCTTCGTCTTTACTCTTATTCATCACCTGCTTTAATCTTCATTTCCTCCTTTTACCTTTTTCTGTCTTTTGATTTCTATTGTGATTTGACAAAGAATGCAGCTTATCAATATGAAGTTTAGGAGATGAATTCTAGAATAGTGTATGAGCATTTTACTTATCTTATTGAGAGGTACACTAGGTAATATTCTAAAGTGAGCATTTATGTTGCATAATATAAAATCTTAGCTCTAGTTGTGAGGACCTTACAGCAATGATTTTTGGATTTTCAAATGGTAGTTTCCGACTGTGAGATGTGTTAATGTTGTTGTGTCTTCTCTGACCTTTTTGTTTGGTTCTTGTTAAATTTGGTAACTGCTGATACTTTTGTGTTGTAGCTATTGACTTTCTGAGGATAAAGTGATTTCCTTTAGATTATCCTTTATGAGTTTCAAAAGACAACTTCAAGTGAGCTTTAGCTACAATTATCCTTATGTTAGCTAAAATCCTTGCATTTTGTTTTTGTAACATCATGTTGCTGCTCATAAAGATTTTTTTTCTTTTTTTCATATCTATTTATGGACATCTTGTTTAGTTATCTAGTTTGGGACTAAGGCATGGTTGTGGTGGTTGTTGTTTTATGGACATTTTGTTTCCTCATATTAAACTAATTTTTTTTGCTATCAATCCCTTTCTGGTTTCTGCATGTAGGTGCATGCCTTTGTGGAGTATGATACTGTAGAGGCTGCTGAGAAAGCTGTGAGTGCTGTTGTATAAAATCTATTGCTTTTTGCTTAAGGTGCTTGATTGTATAATTCTAATGCTCAGTACTTTCTGGTGATTGGATCAGGCGGCAACTTTAAATAACGAACAGGATTGGAGAAATGGCATGCGGGTCAGGCTTCTTAATCAAATGGTAAGTGATCTTGCTCCTCATTATTAACAACAACCAGTAGTATTGTTAAGCTTTCTTGCTCTAGGCCAAACATGGGCAGAGAAGACAAGTCTGGAGGGAACCTGATTCTGAGAAGAATCGTAAAGGTCGTGGGACTAATCTAGCAGGAGATGTGGAGAAGCATGATTCAAGTGAGCATCATGATGATACACCTGTTGAAGAGGTTAGAGATGATTGCCTTCTTTTTTAGTCTTTAGTTATCTTTTTTTTCTATAGACGTCCTTGATAACTTTATGTGCTAGTCAAGTTATATTGTTGTTTGAACCAAACTATCAACCAGAGATTACAACTCTGCCTCTCAAGGATATTACACCTCTACTATAGTAAATGCAATAGAGATTTCATTTTTCCCTTAGAAAGAGCATTTCTAGTGGATGTTGAAATTCCACAGGGAATTTAGATTGGGTTACTTTTTATTCCTTCACTGATTGATTATATGAAAGCATTCACATATGAAGGAAGTTTAAAATCTCCTTTAAGGATATCTATGAGAAGAATGAACGTGAAAAATAACTATAAATATTGATAGAATGAACATGAATTGTGATGATAATTGTTTTCATAAGAAATGAAATTGAGAGAATTGGATGTCTAAGAAAATGTTGGCTTCGTGCCTGTTTCATCAAATATCATTTCAGGATGGGGAGCATATATCCAAGGAGAAAAATGGCCAGCAAGGTGGAAATCGAGGGCGATCAAGAAAGAACAAATTTCGTGTTACAAATGGGATGGGTATTTTGACTGGCCAATTCGTATTTTCTTTTTTCCTTCTTTTTTATTACTAGTTACTTTGGCACATGCAATGTTAAGTTTTTTTTATAAAAAAAATAGTTAAATAACCAAATACAAGAATTTCACATTAGAAATATATTCATATGATTTAGAAAAGATTAAAAGTGAAAAATATTAGTTTAGTAATTGATAAACTAATAATAGTGTTTAAAATATTAGGTTATGTTAAAATATAATGATTGTATGTCATTCTCTTTCCTGAGCGATCGACAATCTTTTCATTTTGTAACATCTTCTTTTTCACATTTCTTGCATACCTATACATTCTTATTTTAACCCAAAAAAAAAAATCTTTCCTAAATTAATTTAATTTTTTCTTTTATTTTTTCTTCCCACATTTACAAAATTTTAGTTTGTGGAACACATTTATTCAACCAATAATAATAAAAATTACATGTCTAATGTTTTGGGCCTTGTTTATTCAATGTATTAAGAGAGAGATTAAACTATACTTGAATAGAGATAAGTATGCATTATTTAATCAACATTCAAGAATCTTATTGACACAAAAAATGTAAGAAATTATTGTCAAACCATGAAATTCATTGGTAATTGTTTGAGGCCTTGATTGTTTGATGAAATGTTTTCTTGAAAAGCACTTCCTCTATTTTCTCATATTTAGATATTATCATATTTAGTGACATTGTGAAAATTGATCAACGACATTCACTTTTTGGTTAAAGAAATTATAAGCTTTAGATGGAGGAAAGTGTTTTCCGGTTTAAAAGATTAGAAACACTTTTCATGAAAGACCCAAAAACTAAAGGGGTATGATACTCCATTATTCTTTTATATATATATATATATTAATAAAATACTTTAAAATATAATATTATATAGAAAATAATATATTAGGGTATATTAATGTACAATATAAAAGTATATTAATTTGATATATTAGTGCATATGATACTTTAATTTAGATAATATTACTAGAAAATACATTTGAATATGAAACATGTTATATTATACAATACTTGTTCATTTTAAATCATGCAAATTGTGTTATAATGTTCTCAGAACACCAAAAAATGATTAGATATCTATAATATTATATTGTAAATATTTATATTATATCTATAGTTACATTTTGTAAAATAAACTATATATAAATATATGATATAATAAAAAAAATCATCATTATATTTTTTATATCTATTTCTTTTCTTTTTAGTGGTCAAATTTTCTATACGTGTTAAGATAAACTTGAAAAAAAAATCAAAAAAACATTAATAAGTGATTTTACAGTTCATTTTTCATGGCATAACTAAACACTATAAAGTATTTTTCAACTTACTTTTTATAATATTGTTAAATATCAAAAAATAATTCACTTTTATAAATTCGCTTTTCATGGAAACTACTTCTCAAATAGAAACTATTTTCTGACAAACAAGCGAAGCCTTAATAATTTTGGCTGGTTTTGTAATGTCTATGGGTTTCTTTAGGTCACTCACCAAAGTATAAATGGGAACGAAACTTTTGAAATTGAGAATTAATTAACTCTTGGAAGTGTAAAGAAGATAAAAAGAAGCAAATGCTTATAAATTTCTGTATTTAAATCTGGAAGGTTGTGAGGCAAAGAGTGGGAGAAAAAATTAGTTAGGGGATTTTTTGCTATGTCCCTAATGGAGTATAAAAGTATTCGAAAATAGATCAAAATGTTCAATTGAGAAGGCAACATGAGTTTTATAACTTCTAGAAAGTAAAAAGGAGAAGAAAGAGTTTGTTTATTTGACTTCCTCTACTCATTTCAAGTGAATATGTTATTATATAGATTGCTGCTCATTTTTATTAGAAAACCTATTATGTTCATTAAATTATAACAATTTAAGGATGGACAAAATTCTTGCACTTATACATTACAATGAACTGGTATCATTTGTATTATTTTTACCAGGCCATGGAACTACATCCTATAATGCTGTGGAACTCTCGAAAGTGCCTCCGGGGCCAAAAATGCCTGATGGAACTAGGGGATTCACGGTGGGACGAGGGCGGCCTCCCATACCTAATCGGAGCCAGGAAATCGTATAACAGCTACACTTGTGTAAAATGTGTTTTGTAACTAATGGTTTGCAGTAGCATGGGAGATGGAAGTGGTGTTTGAATTGCATGGAAGGATAACTATCCTAATCTCTCTGCTGGATTGTTGGTTGATCTTATGGGTGCCATTTTGATTACGAACCATCAAGTACAGGCTGATGTTTTGTGCTTGCGGATTGATAGAAACGCAACCCTTTAGGAGTTGTAGCGCTGCATGCATTTGACTCGTTGATTCATGTGTGTTCTCTAAATGTATTGTTCCGGAATGTGCTGGCAAATGAGGCCAGATTAGGGAGTGGCAAATGAGGTTTACAGAAAATCACAAGGTATAATAAAATTTTAAAACCAAAACATGGTTCCGCACGGCACCCAATGGGTGAGCTCCTTGTGTGCGATCTTCCCCTTGGAAAAAAATTAAAATTAAAATATAACAATGTCAACCTATATCAAAAATAGTTACAACTTGAAAATATATTAATGAGATAATGTAGTGGACTACGGCTACAAAGCTAGAGCGATGATGCAATGGATTATACTTTAATTAATATTATTGCGTGTTTGGGATGGATTATACTTTAATTAATATTAATTTGCGTGTTTGGGATGGAGATGCTTTCAAGGCTACCCTTGATTAATTATCTAAACATAGAAGTTAGCTTTGTTTTTTTTTTTTTAAAAAAAATCATGTGTAATTAAGTAAAATATAGTTTTTTTAATTATTAAATCCTAAATCCTAAATTGATTTAATATATTATTATTTTAATATTAAAAAATCATATTATTTTAATTTAAACCATCAAATAACTCATATATAATTTAATGTTAAATTTATAATTTTTAAAATTAAATGAATCACTTAGGAGCACTCTTATATAATATAATTTTAAACTCATGATTTTTAAAATTAACTTTGTAGATTCAATTTAATAATAAGATAAGCAAACTTTTTAATATTTTGTTTACATTAAAAAATATTTTCATCTAGCACTAAACTAGTAATAACAATAGCAGGGTGAGGAGGAGGTTACCTCAAACAAGGCAAAAACAGAGCTTGGCCGATGTTGCGGGAATTTCGAAGCAGAATTTATATCACGCCTTTCACCTTCCCTCTTCAGAAAGAAAGCACATAAATTCTATATTACACACGATCGCATACAGATTTATGCTTCTTCTTCTTCTTCTTCTTCTTCTTCTTTTGATGGCCTCTCTTCTCTTACCAAACTCCTCCTTCTCCTCTGGATCTAACCATCTGCTTTCATTTACTGTAATTATTCCTGCTCTTCCTTTTCCCTTGGACTAGTCATGCTTTCTATAAACCACCACCACCACCTCTCTCGTATACGGCTTTCTCGACCACCCAAACCTTTTTCTTCCTCTCCCCTTTATTCTAATTCATTCCACAACTTCAAGGTCTCGGTTTCTTCCTTTTATTTTTTTCATTTTTTCGTTTTCGATTTTTCTAAAAAATAAATTATTAATGCATAACAATTATTTAAACATCCATGCCGGAAAAGAATTTGGGAACCAGATAATTGATTATTGACTGACTAATTTATGCAGTTAAATGGATCGAGTGCAGGAGGACTACGATTGTGCCATAAGATTGTTCAAGTCAGGGCCTTCGATGAAGTATGTAATCTATCCAAATTTCCATTTCTCACTAGTTTTGCACATGATACATTACCTGCAAGCAATCACTTCTTGTGATTCTCAGTGCTTTCGATTTTGGTTTTATAGGACTTGTCTGGTGTATCCTCCCCGCTTGATGACTGGGCTAACAATGATGGGGCTGCTGGCTATATGCTATTATCCAGTGACGGGGAAGACAGTGATGGAGAATATATTATAAATCCCGTGACGGATATGGAGTTGCCTACTGCTAAAGTATCAACTAATGATGCTCTTACACTTACAGCTCACAGGCTTGCAATGATTGGGAGGGCCCCCCGAAAACGTAGGCAAGTGTTCTGCATCGTTACGCAAAATGAAACTCTTATGGTTCATATGGATTTTAGAGAGTGAATAGGGCAGTGAAATAAAAAATTAAAAGGAAAGCAAGATCGATGTAATTGTAGCCCTGGGTTAGCAAGGGTATTTAACTTCTTGTTAACCTTTATCAGTTGTGCTAAAATGGGGTTAAGGTCATCATTGTGCCTAAAATGTTTGGTTGTTGCAGGTTGTCACTGACACTTTAATGCAAAATCAGTCTCGCACATGGATTGAAATAGCTTGATTGCTTTTGGATGTTTAAAGAAATTTCACTGCAATATAGGCTTTATAGTCCTCGGACCTCTCATCCTATTTGATGTTGTTTTGCACTGTACCATAGCTGGGCATCAAAACTCAGTGCAAAAATTCCTTAGTTGAATCTCATGTTTTTAATGTTATACCTTGTAAAGGTCCATCCTAGGAAGTTCTAGTTGCAGCTGTAAAAGGGCATGTCTAGATTCCATTAGTGATGTTTAACTTTTTTTCCATTTGGTTTTTCGCTGGCCAAGTTTGGCTCTATTCTTGAGATTACATGTGCACTTAATTGGTAAGTTGAGAGTTTCCATGTTTGTAGGGGATGATACTTCATTCGATTCTTTTTCATGAATTCTATATGCATTACTTTGGTTTGACTAGTTCTTTTCATACTGCAATTGCAGGAACAAACTCGGGACATTAATTAATTTGTGTCTGCTAGCCTTTTTGATGGTTCTTCTCTTATTTGTTGATTGGTGTGCATGGAAGATTGTCAGATTACCCCTAGAACCATTTTACTTGTGTCGTCCATTTTTTATATCAGCAGTTCTAGTCTCTTTTTCGGGTTATCTTTGTGTTCCACTACTTAGTGAGTTAAGAATTCATCAGAATATCTGGAAAGAAGGGCCACTTCAGCACTCCAAGAAAAGGGCAAGCCCCACAATGGGTGGACTATTTTTTGTACCAATTGGTGTAGGCGTTGCAAAATTTGTTGCTGGTTTCTCTTCTGTTGAAGTTTCTGGAGCAGCAGTGGCAACTCTGGCATTTGCAACAATTGGCTTACTAGATGACATTGTAACCATCATAAAAAATCGAAATAGTGGTTTGTCTCTGTGGGTGAAAATATTTTTGGAGGTAAAAGTTATTTTGTTAATTGCTTCCAATATTAAATTTGATAACATTCTTGCAAGAGATAACTGCTCATGTATTTTTCAGGTAGCTGTTGGGACCTGCTTTTCGTTTTGGTTGCATACTACAAGTATATCATCACCCTACAGCATGTATAAATTCTTATTACTAATTTGATCAACATTTTTATGATGGTAACTCACATATCTAATCTTGTGATGAAAAGTTTAAGGGAGGATACCACTTTTTTTGTGATTAATAAAGATTATATGCTGTAATTAGAGAATCTGTGATCAGATACCAATTGTAATGCTACTACCTGTTTTGAAGTAGAAATATTGTTCCTGGCTCAAATAAAATAAATGAATAAAGGTTAGTTAGTTCTTATGGTTTCATTTTGAGCAAATTATGGAGTTTATAATGCCACTACAATATTCTATAGTAGTACAGTAAGGAGCAACTTAATTACTTCCATTTTGTTTGCTATTCAAGAGTGAAAGGCCATTGGGCATTCAGTGCAGGAAATTTATAATTGTCTAGCAGCATAAATTTTGCTTGTTCCAAGTTGCTGCATCTACTCTGCCACAAAATTGAAATTCTAGTTTGGTTTCTATTGAAGTTCTTTTAAAAGATTTGTAAAAACATATATTAAATTTATTTTTGAAGTTTATCATGAATTTTCTAAAAGCATATATTGGAATCTTTTAGTTCTGTATCTTTGAAGTTTTTCGATGGTATTAACTACTGTGGAAAAACTTGGTTGAATTGATATGACATCTCATGTTAATCACTTAATGATATAATATGTGATAATGGTAGAATTTCAACATATTAATTATTAGGGACAAGTTAGCTTGTTTGATATTTTCTCAACATTTTTCTTTTCTCATCCATTGATGTCTTGTACTACAGGAAAATGCTGGTTGCCCTACCTGCCCCACTGGGCCTCATATGCTTAGGAAAATATTATTCTTTGTTGACATCATTTTGTTTTGTTTCCATGGGAAATGGCATTAACTTAACGGATGGTCTAGATGGCCTAGCTGCTGGAACGGCTGCATTGGCTTTTGTAGGAATGTCGATCGCAGTGTTGCCAATATATCCTGGTTAGTATGGATGTTAATGAACTTAAGCCTCAGTATAATTGAAAATCCAGAAGGTTTGGGAAGTTTCCTTTAAAGATCTGGAAAGTGACATTTGATAAACGTTATTCCTGTCAAGAAGTTAAAACAGGAAAGGGAAATTTGCTAAGCAAGGGGAACTATAAACATTACGCCTGTTCTGGAATTCAGTTTCTTCCTTTTCTTCTTCTTTTCCTTTTATATGCTGTAAGCCCAAGCAATTGGATATAAAACCGCTGCAGAAAGCCCAAAAGCAAGCTGGATAGAATCCTAATCTAGTCAGCCTTTGATTTTGCATTTCCTCTTCAAGAATTTCTGATTTTTGTTGTAGGGGAAACCAGATTTATGGCTATTTTGAATATTGAAGAATCAGTGAGACTGTTGATGAGAGATGAGTTTATGGGTTAGCCCACCATTAGTAATTAAAAATGCTAATTTTACCTAAGTCTAATTGTAGAGTCAGTTCCCCAGAAAAGTTGGAGCATTGGATGAGTGGGTCTTACACTAATTCCACAGGTAGATTCAGACAAATTAACATTATTCTTTGTAATTCGAAGTCAATTATGGCCCTGCCTGCATTTTGCAGAGGCAATTTACATTATTAGGGAGGCATGATAAATATCACATGTAGGCTGGAGGGAATCTTTGTAATTGCCTAATTTTATTCAACCCCCGCATCTTACCATGAAAAGACGAACAGCGTCAAGTTGGTGTCTTATGAAGCAATCACTTGACATCTTTGTGTGAATTCATTTGATACCTTAGCGAGAAAATTAGCTCGTCAACTCATAGTTATATATAGAAGCAGATTTCTTCGTTATATTTTAATAACTACTGAAAAATGCAGTTGCATGCCAACGCCAATAGTCCATCAGATCATTTAGAGCTAAATGAACAAGTCAATATGCTTGTTAACTTTTGTACCATATTTTTAAACCTTTTCCACTGGAGCCTCTCGAGGAATTTGACAAAGTGGATGGCTTATGACATCCATCATGAGCAATGATGGGAAGGAGTATGATCTTCAAAATGTTATGCTGTAGCTATTAATTCATTGTTTTGAGATCTTACCCTTTTCTGTAAACTTATTTGTATTAATTCTTGTTTTACATTCCAAATCAGAACTTGCTATATTTGGGGCATCGATGGCAGGAGCCTGTTTTGGTTTTCTGTTGCATAACCGGTACAAGGCTTCTGTATTTATGGGGGATACTGGATCCTTGGCATTGGGTGGAGCATTAGCTGCAATGGCTGCTTGTAGTGGAATGTTCCTTCCATTATTTATCTCATCTGGGATCTATTTCTTGGATGCATCATCAGTGATCATGCAGGTATACATACATGTTGACACTGATTTATATAATATATTGATGATAGAAAATTGTCCCTTTACCATGACAACACAAGGAAGTTCTAATCAAGAAATGTAGGCAAATCTGGTGTTCTGAGTTTGACAATGTTGTCTTTTCCTTGTTTCAAACAAAATACACTTTCTTTGTTATTGGTAAGAATGTTTCTCAACACATGATCAGTGCTATGTGCTTTCTTTGTTTCAAATAAAACACAATTTCTTCTTTCTCGGGAAGAATTTTTCTCTACACATGATCAGTGCTATTATTTATTATATGCACACGTAGTCATGTGCTTTCTTTCTGCTATCCATGACATAGTGCATTATGTAATTATTATCATTGATGTCAATTCTGTAATTATTGTCATTATTGCAATTTCTTGTATCCTCTCTGACAGTGTATTTTTTACCTTATAACTTATGCCTGATTATATCTGATCTTATAAAACATGTAAATGATTCTGTAAAGTTGGTAGTGGAATATCAATCAGGCTTCAGGAACTATAAAAAGTAGAAAGAAACACGATGTTGCTGCAAGTTTGAGATGGATCGACAGAAGGCCTTATTCTTAGAGGAAATAGTTTTGTAGATCCTATATTTCCACTTTGTTTTTTTTGGTCTTGCAAGGGAAGGAGTAGGGTAAGGTCTGAGGTCTTGAAACCTAGCCGCTTGCTTAAAGCAGGTGGTTACTACCAATCCTCCCAAATGGTGATTGGTATCATACTAGCTTTGGTGGATTTCTAGTGGAACATTTTCATAGGCATACTTCTAGATCAGTGCTTTCTTGTCAAATTATAAACCAAGTCATAGAGCTTGTGTTCTGCAGTGTTGATAAACCAAAAATCATGCTATGTTAAACTTTTAATTCTGTCTTAATTAGTTGTATTTTATTTTTGTCCAAGCCACATATATTTGTGATGATATCGCCTTTAAGTTCTTTTGATAATGTTTCCATGGATTATAATTCTCTGGGAAGCTTTTTTTTCCTGTGCGTTGCCAACTTTGATTTAGTTCTTCTTTAGCAACTTCCATTATTTTGCTGATGCACCTGTACCTTGTATTCGTTGCTGTCATCTATTAGATTCAATGCAAGAGAAGTAAAAGAGGTTAAATGGATAGGTAGCAGTATACTTCATTGTAAATTTTCCTCCTATTTTTGTTTTCACATGATGCTGGTGCAACAACGAAGAAATTCTGTTTTTGATTCGTGTGCAGCTGCCGGACCTATGAAATGAACGGTGATGATTTTGTTAATTTGAAAGTGATTATCCCAGTCTAACCATTACCTACATTAGGTACTGTACTTCAAGACAACCAAATGCATGAGGGGAGATGGGTGCCGTTTGTTCAGGATGGCTCCTATTCATCATCACCTCGAGTTATGTGGGCTAAAGGAACCAGTCATTGTTGCTGGGGCTTATGTTATATCCGGAGTGTTGGCTCTGTTTGCTGGTTATGTAGGTCTAATATCTGCATAGTTTCTGAAGCATTTTTGCTCATTTCTTCTTATCACTTTTGCAGTTAGTGCGCCAGGTTTTAATTTTCCAAATGCTTTTTTTATTCTTCTTTTGGAGTTCTTCCCTTCAAACGGACTTCTTGTAAATTTGATTTAGAGAATCAGGTAGAGATGTAGTAGATCTTGAGGCAAATTGAGTCAGGATTGGACATTTCTCTTTAACTGGAGGGTGTGAGTCCAGACCAATCTGTGGGGCCAATACGTGTAATATTTTTTTTTCTTCCTTCTACCGCCTGTCACTTCAGCGGCAGCGGGCGGTTTGATTTGTTTGTTTGTTTGTTTAAAAGAAATCATTAAGCTTCTTTTGATGTTGGGAAAGAATCCATATTTTCTCCTGCATTATGTTTAGATGAGCTGTACATAAACATCCTGGTGGAGGGTGGCGATCCCCATGTAGTGGAGGATGTGAAAATGGTGGTTTTGCGAGTGCAGCAGCTTATCTAAAAACATATGACCATCCAATTAATAGTTCGGTGCCGTTATTCGCAATTATAAATAACTTTAAGATGGAGAGAAAAATCCCAACTTGTGTCGGTTCTGGGATGGTAAGCTGTTAGTGAGAACGCAGATTAGGTACAGTAGCAGCAGATAAAGAAGCCCTTCGGGAGCTTAGCTACATACGCAATGAGAGAGGTTTGCCTCTCTTACCGTTGTTTAGCTGCGGGGAAAAGAGACTCAACCTCAGAAATAAGGCATAAGGAGAGGTTAAGAAAAGGCTCTTATTGAGAGAGCCTCTCCTTAACCCTTGCTAGCAGCCTTGAGGTTCTGTTTACCATGCTTTTCTACCGTACTTAATTCAAGAAATCCTTCATCAGTGGTTGTGAATGACTGATTTTTCTCATTGAATACAAATTAAGCCACTATGCGCTCACTAGAAAGATCATAAGAGAAGATGCCATTGAATCAGAAGCCATACAATCTTGCAGTGCCCTAACTTTGAGGTGACGTTTAGTGCCTAGGAAATTGCCTCACCACTGCCAAGAGGCACTCGAGGCTAGTATCTTATTGGTTTAGCAGTGCCCTTGCTGTATATTACATGAGTGGCCCAGAATTTGAGACACCCGGTGTAATTGCTTGAGTAATTACAGTATGTATCCAGTATTAACATAAAGCTGGGAAGCACTTCACTTTGTTCTCATTTAAATATTAAATACATGATCTCATTTTGGAGCCTGCCTTCAATCACTTGAGTGGTGATTTATGGAAAACCTTTTGGCTTTATTTCCTTTTGAGATATTCAAATCTGACATATCTCTGTTAACTTGCACAATCAAACAATTTTATTTGGCATTAGAATTTTTTAAATAGTGAAGCACCATAAGTAGAACTGCAAAATTACCTATCCAGTTTTTCAATCCTATCAAGCAGGAACTTGGCGTCACTGCCCTTCATATTAAGCTTCGTGCTACTGGTGGGAACAAGACAAAGACACCTGGTCCAGATGCACAGTCTGCCCTGCGTGCCCTTGCCCGTTCTGGAATGAGAATTGGCCGCATAGGCAAGTCTTTTTTCCCGTGTCTGACTTTGAATTGTGCAAGATTATCTATAAATGTATCAATCAGTTTTGTTCCTCTTTGGTTGTTTTTGTTGCCAATCCTGGGTTTATTGGTCCATCCACCTAGATTGTGTTGGAGGTTGTGCTTATCGGCAAATCACTTTCTGTGATAAATTTCTCTGGTGGATTTTGGCTCTTGTGCACGTCTCCTATAACAATGTTTTACATTTCAAGTTATAAGCTGCTTGCTTTAAATGAAGGCTTCTTTACGATAAGATTTCCCTTTCTCCTTCAGATTCCCCCTCAATTAACCTTTTAGTTGATTGAACTTGTGTGTTTTTCAATTTCTAGAGTGAACTAGTTGCTTAGAGTAGCAATTTGTGTTTGACATGGATTTTGTTTTTGCATTTTAATTTTTCAGATATGTTAGCCATGGGATATACAAGTACTAATATTATTATTTCTTTTTGGCTTGTTTTGATGTTTCAGAAGATGTTACTCCAATTCCAACAGATAGCACTCGTAGAAAGGGTGGTAGAAGAGGGAGAAGGCTTTGATCTTGAAGGATCTGTTTTTATTTGGTTCCAAATGGAGACTTCTTTCTTCGACTTTAGTAAAGTTACTTTGCAGTTCAGAATTGCTGTTTAGATTTTTGCATTCACCTTTGCAATGATTCATGTTGATCTCATGTAGAAACAAGAGGTTGTGAAGCACTTGAAATTTTGCTTTGGTAGATTATGAAATGCTATGTATGGTCTATTAATAGTTTTCCGTTGTAGCTTAGTTAAAACGATACATTTCTTCCTGCCAATAGCAATAGCATTTCTCGGCAGCCTATTTCTGCCACTTAATACATTGATTGTGATGATGGTGGTAGCTTTGGACGAGATGGGTGCAAGAGTAGGGTTATTCTGGTGCCTTGACCGGTTGAAGTGGAGGGTTCCAGCCTCATTGTCATGTATCAGTCTTTTTCAAATCAAATTTAGTCATCTGCAATAACCTGCAATTATCGGATGCTCTGTGATAGTTGTTCAACGAAGCCACATATCATTCCAAGGACAAGGAGTTTTGGTGAGAAAAAGTGTCTATGGATGGTGCAAGAGTAGAGTTTTGCTTCCATTGGAAGCTGGAAGCAGTAAATACGGAGGATATAATTGTCAAATCCGATATACACTGTTGGATCAGAAATCTGGTGAAACTGGACGGCTCGTGTTAACCTGTACACACCTGCTTGAGCTTGCCAGGACTTCTAATGGGAGACATGGTAACGGGGGTGGGGTATGGAACTAGGTGCTCCCAGTTTTTCAATGAAGGAAGATAATGAAAGGCAAAAACGTTGCTTTCAGCACTGCCAAGCAATCGGATTCTACCTGATGATGCGTCTGCTAACAGGAGCAAGTTACTATGCTAGTCTTATTACCTGCGCCACGTTGCACGGTGTGTAAGCTGGCGTCTGACTCCATTTGAAATAAATCGAAGCAATGCGATTCTGGTTTGGAAGGAAACTAATTTTAGTGTGTTTAGTAATATCATCTTTCTAGCGGGGCTCAGGCTTAAGCCCAACATTCTGTAGAAATGTATCTTTCTTTCCTCTTCCAAATGCTCGAGAGTTGGCACAAATGACATGGTTCTCTTTCTTCTATCCACAGTATCTATCTACTTGTATAAAAATACCATCAGTTATCGCTTAGATCAACCAGGAGGATTAGGTTTTGCTCCCGATTTGTAGTTTCTTTTCCATACATGGTGTTTCCATAGGCACCTGTAAACACAAATATCTCCTACAACTGATATTACCATATCATGGTAACTCTAAAAATACAGTCAATTGAGGAATTTGGATCGAACAAGCTGTCTCCCGTTAAGAAATGCCAGAGAATGATAGGGAACAGATTTATATAGCCTGATGAAGGCCACTCAAATGTCTTACATCTAATGTAGTAATTTCATAAAAATCCAAAGTTTTAGAATTTACCAAGTACAAAGACACCCAATGTCAATGACTCATTTGTGCATCTAATCCAATAAAATAGCCAAGGTGGTATATGATGTGAAACTTTCGTTCCATTTTCTTCGTAAGAGCTTGAGCGATGCATCTTTCAATTGATAATAATACAATAAAAAAAGATGATTTCATGCATTGAGCCGTTTTGCAATTCTATACTTTAAAAAACTCCACAGACAATGCATAAGAGAAGAGAACCGAGTTATTGCTTCAGCATTATAGCTATGTTTTTTTTTTTTTTTGTGATGTATCATTCTATTTTTTTTAAAAAAAGGCTTAGTGTAATGTTACCATCTAAACCAGTCTTGGTGGGTATAATGTAGTCATTCGTTATAAATTCTCAAAACTTAATATCACAAGACATAAGAAGACATAAGAAGAGAACTTGTCCTAATTTTCCAATATGCTTCTTCACATAAAAGAAAAGGGACTTAGTTAAAGCATTATCCTTAAAGCATCATGATCTTTGTCGCATGCCCCCCATACAGTGTCGATGATGATTTTTCATTTATTTATTTATTTATTGAGTCGCCACCTAGTATTTGATTGGGGATTACTAAAAAACCCGGATGTACTGGTCTTTGTCAGAGATTTACAAGTAAAAAACTGATTATGGCCAGGGAGGTATTAGCACTCCTAGCGCACCCTACTTGAGGTAAGCTACTTTGTAGTTTGATGTGATTTGAAAACAAAAATTGACATGTTGAAAGATTAAAACGGCTTTTTCTATGGTTTTTTGTGTCAGTTTTAATCATTAATCTTGGGTATATCATCTGATGGTCTATGAATAAGGTGTTCTTATGTGGATTTCAAAAAACAAGATGTTCAAGTCAAAATTTGAGGATTTATTAGGAAAGATTGTTTTTTTTAGCACCAATTTTATCAACATGCATAATAATCAGCAGCTTGATTCATCAAGTTATGACCTTTATGGAATAACTCTTCAAGTTTTGAAATCCCCACTTATCGGTTCAGATTGCTTACTTGATTAAAAAGGGTTTTTTAATACATGTAATGCAGGCTATGGTTTATAGCTATGAAAGAAAGGAATTTCACAAGCTCAAAAGGTGTTTAAGGATTTTAAAGATCTAGGATCAACATCAACTATTCATCAGCTCTCTTTCTCTTGTTGTCATTGGAGAGAAAGTGACATATAACCTTGTTAATCTCAAATATCAGAATGCAAATCCAACTTTTTCTTTGATGAATAACCAATCTAATCTTTTTGAAGACATTAAAGGCTTTATCTTAGACACACCAAAAGATATAAAGCTTGATTATTTTTTTTTGACTTTTGGCATTTGCTATGTCTTTCTTCAATTGAAACCTCTTTTGCCCCTCTTAGAATTGATAGGCATTCTCCTTCCATTCTATTTTTTTTAATAGCCTTCCTCGAAGTTTTCTTTGATAACCCTCAATCTATGACTTTTCTTCTTTTAGCCCTTTCTTATTTATTAAACTTTTGTTCCAAGTCTTTCTTTTATCCATTAATTCTATTAATGTCTTCAAAATATCTGTCATTTGCCTCTAGTATGGAGTGTGATCATGGTTAGTGTTTCTTTTGAAAAGAAATAATCTATTAGGCTCAAATGGGGACCACAAGGGATATAATATTTAGAAAGTGAAGGGATAACAAAAATGACCTTTTTTATTTCAAACAAGGTCGGTTAGAATCGATAAATTTTAACCTCATCCAGTGTAATGATTTGGACTTGTAAGAATCATAATTCATGAGTCTATAACTACTGAATCCACTACGTGTCATTATGCATATTGCTAAAACTTAGCTACATAATTTGGGGTTCAAGTTCATGTGTGAGCTCAAAATTTTCTTGGTCACCTCATCTTATTTCAACAAGCATCATGTCATTTCTGCAATCAGAATACTTTTAACCTTCAGGATTGATTAATCTTACTAGCATATTGGAGCTTGATCAAAATATTGTCAAAATAACTTTTGAAAGAAAACATCTCATGCTTTCAGAACAACAAATAGACAAAGAAAAGACATGTTTCGTTAAAGGAAAAGATGTGATTCTAAAACAAAATGCAAAATGGAAAAAATCCATAACAAAATGACTAACAATTTCACACCCTTTTTGGATCAACCTTTCTGGCAATATTTATGTTTGCTAAACATTTTGATCATTTATAATTCTAAGGATATTGTGGTGATAATATGGTTGATGACATCATCTTTCGCAAACTCAATTCATTTCTTGCATACCAAACTTCGACTCGATTCTTTAAATTCTTAAAACTGTTCAACTAAGATGGTTTTGGACCCCACCATGATATTTGATTGGTACTTAAAAGTGCATTTTTATCATGGTTTTATATCATCATTTTGCACTTGAAGTATCAATAACTCCTTAACTAAAGCATGTTTTATAATAATATATCTAATAATATAAGATACCTTTAATTTGTGGTAAATATTCATTTTAAATGCAGGCCTATCACATAAATGAAAGGATTGATTGATGACTTTAAGAACTTAAATTGCAAGGGCAAAAAGATGACCAAAATTAGAAAAGAGATGTCGGCGCAATCCAAACCAGAACACTGTTCGGTAATTGGGTCATATCTGGAGCTATAGATCTCATATTTAGGTCTACTTTATATGGATGGAAAGGTAAGACATAGGCCTACAACTTTCATATGCAGCCCAAGATCTGAAAAGGCCATTTTCAAGTCCAAATTGTAGCAACAACAAAGAAGCTCGAAGCTGTCCTCCAGCCCGAGTACTGTTCAGTATTTTAGCCATATCTGGAGTTCTAGAATTCCAAATGAGCTGAAATTGTTATACAAGAAAGCTGAGACAATTGCCTACAACTTTCATGATTTGAGTGGCTCCAATTTTGACGTTATCAATGACGTTTTGGGCAGACAAGAGAAGATAAGGATTGCCACCAAGTCAAAAGTTGGCCACCCACTTATCAATTAATCATCAAATCAATAGTTCCCAATTTTGGCCTATAAAAGGAGGCATTTGCCATGCATTTAGGCATCTTGATTTCCAGATCAAGATCATGCTCTTCCTTTCTCTCTTTGTATTTTTTATGCTTTGTTTTCATTAATATTAAGTTTATGCCTTTCATTTCCTTTCCTTTACTTAGTTAACTCTTATCTTATTTATGTTCTTATTTTGGTTATTTATTTTTCTTTGTTTCATTATGTCTAGCTAAGTTAGTTATGTCAAGGTGAAAAGGTTACACTAATGGTGTAAGAATAAGTATAATGTAAACTTAATATGGACCTTAATGTTTGATACTAACATGTTTTATATTTGCTATCTTGTTCACTCTTTAATACTTTACTTGTTAAATGACTAATCTTGATTTATGTTGTATAACACTTGGTACAACAAATGCTTGGCACTTTCATAGCCCATAATGTATGGTATAACCGACACCTGAGCTATGAAAAGAACTTGATTTGTTGTTAACATAAGTTATAATCATGAATGCTTGACGAAATTTACAAGTATTAGCATTAATTGAATAAGATGACTAATGTAATCATGTTAACAATATATAATCTGATTGGAACCTCCTTTGTGTGTGGTTTCCAATTCAATAATAAGAGTTTATACTATACTTGTTTGACATACCATTAATGGATCCTCTAACCTTGACATTTGTTATTATCATTGTTTAATCTTTACATTAATATTTCATCTCAAAGTTCTTATCATCTTCTTCTTCTTCTCCTTCTTTTTCTTTATTATTATCATTATTATTATTATTATTATTATTGTTATTATTGTTATTGTTATTGTTATTGTT